AAAGTCCAGGAAATTTAAAATCCATTTGCATCTCAAGAGGGACCCCTCCATTGCAATCCAATATGTCTCAATTCCAGTGAGGCCACAGGACTCTTTGTGGCAGGGAAAATCATGTGATTCTATAGGATATTACCATGGCAGTTATAGTGAAATCATCAGTAACACACACACACACAATATTGTGAGCCCTAGCAGATCCCTGGCCATTCTCTAATGCTAACCTTGCCCTAAAACCTCATTGTCCTTTCTGTAACCCAGAGTGTCCAAAAGCCTCACTAAGGGACTGAACAGACTGCCAGAAATAATCCAGCTTGAGACCACTTTAACTGTCTTGGCTCAGTGCAAGGGAATTATGGGAATTGTAGTTTATTGTGGCACCAGAGCTCTCTGACAGACAAGGCTCAATGTCTCAGAAAAAAATCTACAGTTCCCATGATTCCCTAGCACTGAGCCAGGACAGTTAAAGTGGTCTCAAGCTGGATTATTTCTGGCAGTCTGTTCAGGCCCGAAGACACCAGTTGGGAGAAGAAACCAACCCAGCCCATTGCCAGACTCATTTTAAGTGCCAATGGTTACTGGGCTTCTGGATTTTTGCATCCCACCTCCTCCTCAAGTTATTTCTGCAAAGTTCCTTCCATCCCTTTTCTATTTCTTTCCTGCCCACCCCATTATCACCACTCTCCTTCCCTAATTAGTTCCTTTCCTTTGACACCCACTACTTCTTTCCCCAGCTTCTACACAACTGTCTCTCAATAACACACATCATTTTAATCCCAGCCTGACATGCAGGGTTGCCAGCTTTTCAGCCAATGTCTGCTCTTGAGACTTTAACAAACAGGTTCATCTGCAGACATGATTATAACCAGATGCTATTTTTATCAGTACACTTTATCCATCATTTCTTTGCGAGCTGAATCACACATTCACAGTAGATCACGTGTATATCTCCATGCTGCAAAAACCTTTAGTGGCTGACATCAAGCGGTTGTTAAGGAACAAGAGCAGGCTGGGCTAGTTTACAGAGGGGGTGTTTTTTCTGCTAAATTGTTACAATTGTTAAAGTAAATGGTTATCATAAACGTGCAAAGGCATGCTACCCTTTCAGCAATCACAGTGACACAGTGACCCACCATTTGGGCCACACTGACATGTGACCATTTACATACCTGCCAACATTTTAAGAAGAAAACCAGGACATGTGTGGCCAGGCAACATGAGAATGTCTTCAAGAGGGCAAAAGTTACTAATGATGAAGAACAGACAAACTAGGGACTCATTCCCACTTACACTTAATCAGATTTGTGAATCGTGTTGACATTGGGTTGCCAATTTGATAGAGGCTGATGCGTTGTTCCGACTATGGATGCGAATCATATCCTTATTCCATGTCGTTCCCACTAGTGACATGGAATAAGCTGGAGGAGGCAGAAGAGGGGCACCCCATCGCGAAGGTCCGGCTAGGCTGCGTGCAGCTGGGAGATTGGCTGCAGCTGGGGAAACCCAGCGCGCCCGCTGGCAACTAAAAGCCCCCAGGGCTCTTCTCTTTTGCATCTGTGCGTGCTCCCCTTTGCGCTGTTCCTGGGGGTCCTCCCACCTGCCGCATTCCCAACATCTGGGGGCCCCATGCCCCCAGAACACTGGACAGGAGTTGGGCCAAGGGAAGATGGTGAGATCCAGCACGGTCCCCCAGAGCAGTGGTCCCCAACCCCCGGTCGGCGGCCCGGTACCGGTCCGCGGACCGGGGGTTGGGGACCACTGATCTGTTTTGATTTAATAATCAACGCGATGGCACAAGCCCCCCCCCCAGTGGGCCGCAGATTATCAAACGTTGACCGGTCCACGGCAATAAAAAGGTTGGGGACCACTGCCCCAGAGCACCAGGGCTGGGCCAAGGGAAGGCAGCAAGACAACCCCAGTGCCAGCAGCCAACAGTCCCCACCACCACCACCGTCAAGCAGCCCCTCCAGTGCAGTGCAATGCGATTCAGGTCCATAGTTCACACTTATTGAACACGTTCCTGAATCAATTTTTTTTCAAAAGAACCATAAAAAAAACTACTCTCCAAAAAATGTGATTCTTTTCAATTTGTCGCAATTTAAAGTGAGTCCGAACAATCACAGTCACTTCTGTGGTGGTGTCTCCTTCTTTGGAGGTCTTTAAACAGAGGCTGGATGACCATCTGTCAGGGATGCTTTGATTTTGAGTTCCTGCATGGCAGAATGGGGTTGGACTGGATGGCCCTTGTGTTCTCTGCCAACTCTATGATTCTATGAAACCGTTCCCAGTGGGAACGAGTCACATATTCAGCGATCAGCAATTTGCTATAAATCATAGGGGGAATGACCCCTAGGAGATGCTTTTGCCTGAGCTGACAGGGAAGGGCCAGATTCTGCCCCCTCTTCTCCTGTCCTCCCTATTAATGGAGTGCCAACTGCTTTTGCACTTTAAACTCAGTTTGCAGCAGCTGAAGTAAGGATGAAGGAGAGAGAAATCAAGATATTTTAAAAGCAGCCGAAAAATTGGGATGACAGAAAACTAATTGGGACTGGCCCTGCCTGCCAAACTGAGGCACATGGAAGGGATGCATTTATAACAAACATGCTCTCAGCCTCAGGGGAAGGCAATGGGAAACCTCCTCTGAACAAATCTTGCCAAGAAAACTCCATGATAGGTTCGTCTTGGGGTTGCCATCAGTCAGAAATGACTTGAAGGCACACAACAAACAAATAAAAAAGATGTCTATATATGTTTTGCCACTACTACTGGACCGGTATCACAGGCCTCAGTCACCACTCCAGATCTCTACTCCCAACTTGCCCAATGTAATTTGTGCCAATTCTGAAAATCATCTCCCTCGTTGCTGCTTTTGCTGTGATCAAGAACATCTACCTTGTCCCCAAGTAGGTCATTTGTATCCTGCAATGAGGAAGGCGCTAGAAGCACAACTTGGGCAAATGACCAGTAAGGAAATAAGGACAAAAGTAAAAAACAAGGGCTACTTGCTCAGTTGAGAAGAGGAGTTGTAAGTGTATTCCCAACATCAGTTGTAGAGCCCAACTCATGTGGTATCTCTGATTCCCTCCCCCTCTCCATGTTGTGCTTGCTCCTTAAGAGCATGAATCTGGTCCTAGTTCCCATATCACGCTGCAGTCATGAGACATATCCTAGGGGCAAGCACAAGATCTTCACAGAGGAAATTGGGAGAAACAGGCACAGCCTTAATCCAAACTTCTGAATTTAGTAGCCAAAGAAAGAAATACGGCCCCACTGCATCTCATAAGCTACATAAACCAATTATTTTTCAAATGTTTGGGAATTGTTCAGTGGATCAAAATGTGGACCTGTGGAGGCCTCAAACAGACAAAAGGGCTTAAAACAACTCAGCCCAAATGGGTGAAAACAGAGCCTATGGATGAATCACAAAAAGCAGGGGAAGCAAGGCCAGGCATCTAGAATGGGAGCAGAGCCCAGAATATTTCAATGAAAGAGCTGTATGAGAACTAAGAACTTGGGGAAGTTACCTTCAGGGCTGCAATATCCAGGATCCCCCAGTCCTGACTAGGAGATTCTGAGTTCTGCAGTCCAACAAGTTATTTCCCCAAGTTCTGAATAGGATATGAAACCTGGAGAAATATGGAATTCACAGTTTAACTGTTTCCAGTTTGTTTTTGGGGTTTTTCTAGATAGATGAGAACACAGGTGAGGAGGTTGAGAACCAAGACTCATGGATTCTTTGGAATCTCAGTGGTGGAGTCAAATAAGTTAAGCTGATCATGGAACTGGAGTGGAAGCACAAAGCAAGGCAAGAACTTCAACGATTAGATTACCAACCACTCTCCTCGTTTCCTTCCCTCTCTCCTTGCACCAAACTCACTAACCCACTTCCTCTTTCTCAAGGCCCCATTTCCGCAGCAGGTTCAAACTTCAGGCCATTTAAGGCAAAAAGAACCTGCCAAAAAAGATCTGTCATTTCGGCAGTTTCACAAGTGTTTGGTCCCTCCTCCGGATCATCATCCTTCCTTCCTCACAAACAAATGGTATGGCAGAGGGAGGACTAGGGGTTAGATTTATACATGTAAGTATAATTTGGAGATGGATGGGCAAACGGGCACTGAATTGTTCCAGGAAATGAGGGCTGAGATAAACAAGGGGGCTTGGGGAAACCTTAGGGGGCATCTTTTTAGGGGGTGCTTGAATACCTTGGCCAATGGCAAGACTAAGAAGGCTCCTCCGCCACTGGCTTCCACGACAATGGCCAGGAATTTGGGGTTGACCGAGCAGAAATTCCCATCCCAGGTCATCTGAGAAACACGGATGTCATCATAACACTGGTCAGCCTTGACTGGCTGTCCGTAGACATGGCGAAACTTGCTAGACCTCACGACTTTACGGCTCATGATTCCTGCAAAAGAGTTCATACAGAAAGGTTCACATGGTCACTT